GCCATAGTAAATTCAGAAGTATGCGTAGCGTGCAAACTAATCAGGAGAAAGGAAATCCTGAACATTTCCATATGTGCTTGTTTCTTTGACATCTATAATATAATCTGTTCAACATAAATTCGAAGTATAACCACGAAAGGAAAAAGATCTTCCAACACGAAAACATCCAGGTGTCAAAAATAGTATCAAATATTTTTTGAACCATACATCTTTCCTGAAATAAAGTCCACGACAATCCACCTTCCTAACCATTAAAATGAGTAATAATTTACAAAAAAGGAATGGAAAGAGGTATCAGTCCCGGCAACATTCAAGAATACTCAAAAGTCCTTAATGGTCAATCTTTAGGCAGATGTTGAGCTAGGTCCTTTTTTTTCCTGCTTGAGTTACAATACATGATATCAGGTAAGAGCAACATATGGCCTTTGATTTTGCTACACAAGAGTCAGAGACTTTTGGTTAAGACCCATCATCCTCCAACAACTGAAAAAATCATGTCTCAGTCAAAGTAAGAAAAAAAATGCCATATCATCACGAAGCTTGAGAATGCTCATCAAACACCATCCACCCTCAAATCTTCAAGAGTATTATTTCTGGCTCCTTGCAGCCTGTTCACAAGTTACCACAACCAAATATGTAAAGGAAATTGCAAGTACAGGGTAAGCATACAACAAAAATAACTGATTTCTTTATTTACCAAAAGAGAAAAACCAAACGAGTAATCTGCTTACTGTTAAATTGGAAGCATATTTAATGCATTCAGATTTTCCTTAAATGCAAGTCAAAGTTAGCTATTACTTCGCAATAGTTTTCAACAGTTCTGTGCGCAGGCATTTATCATTCGTCAAGACACTATAATATGGTAGAATGAATTTATCTCTAGTAGTATGCTTATATGTCCCTCATTCAAGCATTTAAATTCGTCATGACCAGCTCCATAATATTGTCTAGCAAGTAACATGCATTTATCTCCACTTGTATTATGTATATAAGTGTTATCTCAAAATAAAAAAAGAGTATTATGTATATAAATGCAACTAACTAAAGCAGATGCAAGTGTTCAATGTCATTCCTAGGGTTTTCTACTGAAACCAAATTGTTAAAAGATGCAGCCAAACAATAATAAAATTAATCATCAAAAGCCTATACATAACCTTTAGTGAAGCAATTCAAAAAATTCAAAAATGAAACTACATAAATATTTAAATTGTTCGTGTAGCATATATGCTACAGTTTGTACCAGATGTTCGCATATGGAGGAAAATATCTACGAATCCGAATTCTTAAAGAACTGTTCTTTACTCAAAATGAATATGTCCCCGCAAAAATATTATTATCAAATAACATGCAGAAACTTATCAGTCAATCACCAAATATCAATTTGCAGAAAACGTAATCTTACCCTGAAAAATTATCTCACACTCTGCAGAGAGAACAAATTCTCAGAAAGAACGAGCACTAAAGAACCATTCTACCAATTCTTTACTTCTTGCTATAGAAGGAAAAATGTATACTAAACATGCCATTCGCTCAACAAAGATACAGTTCAGGAAATGCACAAACCGAGATCAGTTCCCTCTCCAGCTATTTGATGTGATTGTATACGAGTATTACACAATTCACCACGTTTTGACATCACTAAGTTTCCACCATGTCCCTAGTGATAGTGGAAAAAATTACTAGACAAAATTTTAATCCCTTCCTCTATCTATCACTGTCTCTCACCTTCTACCATCAGTACTTCAAAGAAATGAACTCTTCCATATAGACATTGAATTCACATGGCATGCATCATAACATTTCGTAACACCGGATTAACATTGATATCAGCACTCTCTGTCTATATCTCCATCGGTAGAAAATAATCAGATCAAAGTTCACAAGAAATCAGAAAACTCAGTCAGTACGAAGAGGGAAAAGAAAAGGCTATACCTTTTGTAGTTTTTCCAGCACAGAATCTTCAAATGCTTGATAACCAGCCCCAACCAGATTGCTTAGGTTTTCAGTCTCAGCAGATTTTTCAGCAGTAGGAAACTCCATTGCTGCTTCTCGTTGAAGAGGCACAACCAGCAGTGGATTGGAAAGGTCACCACACACAGTTTTTGTAGCAGCCACCTAAAGTAAACACAAACAAACTATGTATAACCAATTTTGTATTAACGCTGAGTAAGGCAATGTTGTTTTAGTTTATTTCAA